AAGTGTATTACATGGATTTCTTTTTGTATGTTGAACACACTTTGCATTCCTGAGATAAATCCCATTTGGTCATGGTGTGTAGTGCTTGCTCTATGTTGCTGAATTCAGTTGAAAATGTTTGCATGTATACTGACAAATATCCATATTCATAAAAAATCTTGGTCTGTAGTTTTCTTGTTATGTCTTTGTCTGGTTTGGGTATCAGAATAATATTTACCTCATAGATTAGGTGATAAGTATTCCTTCCCTTTCTCCTTTTTTGGAAGAGTTTGTGAAAAGTTTCTATTAATTCTTCTTTAAACCTTTGGTAGAATTCACCTGTGACCTTCGGGGCATGTACATTTTATTTTCCTGGAAAGTTATTTTTTTAAAATACTAACACAATCTCAGTATAAAAAAATTTTTTCATACTTTCTATTTTTTCTTGAGTTCATTTTGGCAATTTGTATCTTTATGATAATTTGTCCATTTCAGGTATATTATTTAAGTTGTTGGCATGGAATTTTATACTATTATTAGTACAATATAGTATTATTAGTGTAGAATGAATACTTCTTAATGTGCTTCTATATTTATTATATAATTTGGCCTTAATTTTAGCCTTTATTCCCAGCCCACATTTGAGGAAATAGAGGTATAATTATGAGTTCATTAATTTGTGTAAATTGTTCATGGGCCCTAAGAAAGTCAATACAAAAGAAATAGAAGACAAAGTATTTTCATTGGAGAACTCAAAATCGACCAGTCGTGGACAACCAGAAAAATGAAAAGTTGTGCTGCAATCGAAATGCATTCTGCTGTCATATAGAGCTGATTAAAAATAATTAATTAATTAATTTAAAGAATCGACCAAGGTTGGGAGTCTACCTTGACTTGTATTCTCCTACTTTGTCCATCTTTAGGGCGCAGAGCTGCATTTGGAGTCTTGGCAGGACTGATCCTGCATAAGTTCACTGACCAGAGGTGAAGAAGTCTTCAAGAATGGGCTTTGCCTGCGGAAAAACAGTGTTCATTCCACTGTTTTTGGAATGAACCAGTAATAAAGGCTCAACTGTCCAAGGGAAGTAGAAAGTTGAGGTATAGTAACTTGTTCTGGAAGCCTGTGTTGATTTCCAGAAATACTTGAGACATTTCACACAGCCACTGAAGGATGATGTGCATGGCCCTCCAATCCTCTTTATTTATAGAGCCTCAAGTTTATTCAGATGGTGACATATTTGGGCAAGTAGGCCCTTTCCTGTTCCCTATGGAATAAACCACATTTGGTCTAAATCAGGCACAATCAGTTCCTATCCCTGGACTCATGATTGTTTTAGGGTAGTACATGATCTATGACTTTGCTCCTTCTGCTTTGAATGAGATTGGATTAGCAAATGATCCTTGCAGCTGTGGCAGTCTTTTTGTGAAAGCTATTAAAGATGGCAGAGCAGAAAGACTGAGCCTGAGTCTTTTATGACATTTCAGCGTGTTGGAGCTACTCTGGGATCATCTGGATTATCACCTGAATTCTGCTCTGACAGCTGAGGCAAGATGAGACAGGGATGGGAAGTATGAAGATAGGTGCTAGCACTCTGCAAGAGGTCCAAAGAAGTTTACAAAACATACTCTTCTTTCAGTTTACCAAAGACCCACTTTGGGGCTGGGGTTGTAGCTCAGTTGGTAGAGTGCTCACCTGAGGCACTGGGTTCGATACTTAGCACCACATAAAAACAAATAAATAAAAGTATTATGTCTGTCTACAACTAAAATAATAATAATAATAATAATAATAATACCCAATTTGGTCTAGGGCTCTAGTATCAAGTTCTCTAAATGTTCCATCACTGCAATAGTTTTCAAGGAGTCTGAAATCTATAGGTGGGTCAGATGGTAGATGGCTCCTCCTGCCCCTTTAGTCTTGTCACTTGTGAAGTAGATATTGTTACCTTTACCTTATGCATAAGAAATGGTGGCTCAGAAAGATGAACTTTCTTGTCCAAGGCCAACAGCAAAGCTGGGAACCAAACCTAAGTTCTTTGCTGCAGAGACCTGGGCTCTGTGGCACCCAAGTGGCTTTCAAGTCTAACCTCCATGACTCCTCGTGTTTCCTGAACTATAATTTCCTAGTACCATCACCACCACTCCCATGGACTCCGTGAGCCTAGTTCAAATCCTACCATGAGTTCTAGACTCAGGGTTGATGGAGTCAGGAAAACTCATTTCCCATAAACCTTGTGGAGAAGGGAAGGCAGTTGCCTGAGTCAAAGGGTGTACTAGATGGGGGCTGGGTGGGGAGGAGACAGAGAGGAGAGAAGCTGTGCTGGTGGGTGACACTGATGGCATGGAACTCAGTGGACTGCAATACAGAAAGATTCAGGGCAGAGCCCTGCACTAAGAGACTCTTCCTATTCCACAGATTCTGTGAAGATTTCCTGAAGAAGGTTGGCCCCTAGAAAGGGGAAGTGAGAATTTTAGGCATAGAAAATGCTGGAGCTGAGCCCAAGGCCTGAAGGCTACAGGGTGTGTAGAAACCACCCACAGCAACCAGCTGGCCTCTGTCCAGCGCCTCCTCTCCCTCTGCCAAACCTCTGTTTGCTCCTGCTGGATCATGTTCGGGTCATCGTGCCTTGCCCAGAGACCTCCTGGAGCTGGCATCCCAGCACCTCCAGCAGCAGACATCCATCCTACCCGCAAAAGCCTTCCCTGGCCAGGCCTCCTTTTTGCTACTCTCCTGGCCATGGCTGTCCCTGAGAAAGCCCCTTCCCCTACCTTTGCCCCACATGGCTCTCCACCCCATACCTGCCCACTGCCACCATTTAGTAGTAGTCCACTACTAAATCTTACCCACTCTGCAAAAGCCATTGCCCTAGGAAACATTTCCCTTCCCCACCCTCCAAGGAAGTGCCCTTAGACAAGTTACCCAATCTCTCTGACGTTCAGTTTATCATTTGTGTGGCAGAGTTGGTGTCAAGTGCTACGGGAACTTGGCAGGTGCAGCAGGTGCTGTCCTAACTCAGGTGGCCAGGGCATGCAATGTGTATTTGAAAATTGCATATTTAGCCGGTTGCGGTGGTACACGCCTGTAACCACAGCCGCTCAGGAGGCTGAGACAGGAGGATTGCACAGGAGGATTGAGGATTCAAAGCCAGCTGCAGCAAAAGCAAGGTGCTAAGCAACTCAGTGAGATTTTTTTTTTTTTTTACATTTATGTGGTGCTGAGGATCGAACCCAGTGCCTCTTGCACGCTCTACCACTGAGCCACAACCCCAGCCCCCCCTTTTTTTTGAGACTCTTTCTCTAAATAAAATACAAAATAGGGTTGGGGATGTAGGTCACTAGTCAAGTGTGCCCCTGAGTTCAATCCTTAGTATGGAAAAAAAAATTGCACCTTTAAAATATAAAAGTACATAAGAATTGTTTTAAAATTGTGGGTTTTTTTTCATTATAGAAGGAAAATTGGGGGGGGAATCCCTAAAATAATCTAGAACAGTTACTGTGAGTGCTCGGAGATGTTGTTGTGTTATTACCTGAGTAGATATTACCATTAATGCTTGGTGGTGTGTGTGTGGTGGGGCAGATTGGTCATTATTATTGCAGTTACACTGATATATAATTTGTTTACCATGTAATGCATCCATATAAAGAGTACATTTTAGAAATGTACAGCTATTCTGTACCCTTTGTCACCTCTATGCTTTGTTTTTCTGCTTAACATTATTTTCCAATCATCTATTCCTGTTGCCAGACAATCTCCTTAACCATTCTGCTTGGTGACTGATGGCAGTGGCTTTTGTTCTAGAAGAATGGTGTTTGTGAGGACTGCAGAAGCAGATGGAGCAGAGAGGACCCGGGCAGAGAGAGGGTGGGATGGAGGAATAGGTGGGGAGATTGCCAGGACTATGGGAGTGGAGAGGAGCAAGGGTCAGCGATACTGCTAGTCATCTGGAGGTGGAGGAGAGTGACAGCTAGGGCGTCCGCACACTTCTTGGGGTGGGTGAGAGTGGCAGAGCCAATTACTGAAATCCAGAATGAAGCGGCAGCACAGGTTTGGGGGAGGGTTGAAAAGGAGCCTGGTGGATTTGGACTGTTAGATCTGGGAGCACCAGGCTGTCCTGGCGAGTCCTACAGTGGGCATATCTGGCACTCTAGGGCTGATAGGGTTCCAGGTGAGAGGTTTGGGAGTTAAAGGTGTAAGGGTCAAGTGGAAGGTGGGAGCTGATCCAGGTTGATCCAGGGTGTGAAGGCTAAAAAAGAGGGCTCAGGGAACACTAGCATTTTAGGGAGGTGACAAGGAAGCAGACAACAGAGCATGTCATAAAGTGGAAGGCAGAGAGGGGAGCTGTCCCAGCAGTATTCAGAGCAGCGCAGGGAAGGGGCGGGGAGGGCGGAAAAGTGCGCAAGCGGCTGAGACTGGCGCTGCGGAGGTGGTGGCAGGGGCACTAGTACCCCCAGAGGGCTCCTTGCAGCAGGATGCTGTGGCCTGACGGTGCAGTTCAGGTGTGAACGAGTGGCCCCAATAGGTCCCACAAACGAGGCATCTCTTCCAGTTTGTAGGGAGAGCTCCACCTACCCAGGGCCTTGTGCAGGTTTGGTGGGGGAGTGCCCAAAGGCTTCAGGACCTCACTGCCAGGCGGTGGGATGGCTCTGAGGGTGTCCTTTCTGCAGCGATCTCCCCAGGCGGGAGTCCTGGGGCAGAGCGCGGTACCAACCCCAGGAATCTCCTGGACTCCCGCGCTGCACCAACCCAGGCTCGAAGGCGGTAAGGCTGCTCGGGACACTGATGCCGACCTGAAGGAAAGTTGGAGAACTCTTTTTTGTTAGATACCCGTCACTACGAGCGCGCCGCTGGTTGCCGTCGGGGAGCGGCTCGGCACTGGGCGCGAAGTAGGGATGGGGCGAGGGGGCGGTGCTATGTCCGGGAATCCGAGACGGGCGGGCGGTCTGGCCAATAGTAGCCTCCGTCTGCCCGAAGTCCCGTCCCCTGTGCCCCGGACCTGAGAGCTCGAGCTAGGCGGCTCAGACGCGGCCAGAGGAGGCGCGGTCTGGCGCTCCGGCCGTGCCCGGCGGGGCTCACGCGGCTGTCCCGCGCGCGGCAGGGCCCTGGTAGGCGACTCCCGGGGCCCAGCTGGCCCGGCCATGCCGCTGGAGACCCAGGACGCGCTATATGTGGCGCTGGAACTCGCCATCGCCGCGCTGTCGGTGGCGGGCAACGTGCTGGTGTGCGCGGCGGTGGGCACGTCTAGCTCGCTGCAGACTCCCACCAACTACTTTCTGGTGTCCCTGGCGGCAGCCGACGTGGCCGTGGGACTGTTCGCCATCCCCTTTGCCATCACCATCAGCCTGGGCTTCTGCACTGACTTCCACAGCTGCCTCTTTCTCGCCTGCTTTGTGCTTGTGCTCACTCAAAGCTCTATCTTCAGCCTCCTGGCCGTGGCCATCGACAGGTATCTGGCCATCCACGTCCCGCTCAGGTGAGGCGCGTGGGCGTCTTTCGATCCCGGGGCCCTGTCAAATTCTCTCAGGGGGTTGCAGTCTCCAGGACCTAGGGCCAGCCTTCAGGTACCCCAGATTGACCTGATTGGGGACGCTGGGGACGCTCGAAACGCTTTTTCCTAGCTTGGAGGAGACCCGTCATCCTCAGAGACACGTGCGCCTGGGCTGCTCTCCGAGACCCTCTCGGTGCAGCAGAGAAAGACCTTGGCAGTGTCTGCGCCGCCCAGGCGTCCGGTATGCGCGCGCCCCTCAAAGGAAACTTGTGTAGGGACAGCTGTAGGGGTTCCGGAAGTGCGGCACCCGGCGAGACGCCCCCGAGGGTGCGTGGAAACCCGGGCGCAGGAGGTTTGGTGATTGCAACTCCACCCTTGCGGTTAAAGCTGTTTCCTCCCGACCCTACTCACTCGCTGCTGCCGTGTTCGCGAGAGCAGATGCACAGAGCAGGGCATCGCGTCCAGAGCAGCGGCCAGACATCCCCTGAGTGCTGGGGGGTCAGGGAGGTTTCCTCCAAGGGCGAGGCCACTGAACGCTAAAGGTTCGCCCTGTCGGAATGGACGCTACTCACGGCTGAGTTTCAGAATGTGTCTGCTGCCAACTAAAGTGGCCAGGGGCAGATCCAAGCAGAAGGTGCCTGGTAACTTTGGGAAACACTGTGGACACTTGTCCCTGCATGTTAAAAGGTGACTTAAATCACCTCTATATACTTTAAAAAAGAGTTACAGTGCTTGCTGGTTCACCAAGCCAGCAGCCTTAGAGTCTCCATTGCGGTTGGGTAACCTCCTTTATACCCTGCGCTTCTGAGAAGCGCTTCCAAGATTTCAGAAAACTTCAGGAATACATATCAGTCCACACTTTCTCTGAACATGCTTAAATCAAACTCTTCCTGTTTCCATACTGAGACAATGTAGGATTCTGGGGAGTGGATTCCCAGTTGTAGCTGATGAATTCAAGTCGCAGGTTTGTTAAAAGTATTCTCTCTTCTGTACCTGGGCCCCTTTGGCATGAGGTGAACTTGGGATCTTTTTAGATTTGGAGCGTGGCCAGGGAAACTAAGTTATAAGAATAGGAAGGGAAGGGAAGGAACTCATTTATTGAGTGCCAGCTATGTGCCAGGCAGTTTATATTAAATGTCTATCCTTTAATCCTTTAAGTAATTCTAGAGGATAGATACTGCCACCCGAATCTTTGAAGATGAAGGGGATGGTGGTTCGGGAAAAATTAGGGTCTTGCTCAGGATGGTGCAGAGGGAATAAGTGTCAGAGTCAGGACTTGAACTCAGAACTGGCATTGTGTTCCATCAGGCTGTCTTTTTTTTTTTTTTTTAAAGAGAGAGTGAGAGAGGAGAGTGAGTGAGAGAGAGAGAGAGAGAGAGAGGGGGGGGAGAGAGAGAGAGAGAGAGAGAGAGAGAGAGAGAGAGAGAGAGAGAGAATTTTTATTATTTATTTTCTAGTTCTCGGCCGACACAACATCTTTGTTGGTATATGGTGCTGAGGATCGAACCCAGGCCGCATGCATGCCAGGCGAGCGCGCTACCGCTTGAGCCACATCCCCCCATCAGGCTGTCTTGCAGGGCTGTGTGTGGCATCAGTGTTTGAGAAACAAGAAATTTATTCTATTTCTGGAGGGGGATTCTGCCTGTAGTAAATTGGTAGTTGTAGAAGAGATGTGTCTGTGGGAATTGAGCAGGAGAGTGCTCCCAGAAACCTTTTTAGTAGACATAAATGTTGAGCCTGGTCCCTGTGGGTTGTGTCTGGGTCCCAAAGGGAACAGGAACCTCCTGCTTGGCCAGGCTGTGAGCCTGATGTGCACATCTGGGCTGTTCCATGGGCTGCTGTCCTTGACATCTGAACAGGAGGCTTTTTCTATCAGGTGTGACAGAGCCCAGCACTTGGGTGGCACAGTATTCTCTTCTCTCTTAGGAGCCCCTTTGTTCTTATGGGTACTTGATGGCATACATCAGGGCAGTCACACACCCGCATCTGAGAGAAGCTCCTTAAGTTTGCCCTAGGTAGAGACCACGCAGCTCAGCAGGGAGTTGCTACCACAATCTTGTGCCACCTGGATGCAGCAGGAAGTTTAAATCTGTTAGTTCTTGTCCTCATTTGTGCTGGGTGGGGTCTTGAAAAGAATGGGTGTGGGTGTCTTAAGGGGAAAGGCATGTGTGAATCAGGCCCCTGACTTCTGCTTTGCTAAGGGCTGGAGGATGAGAGGAGATGGAGAGATTGAGGAATGCTGAGTGGGGTCTCTAAGAAGGCTCACTCCTGGCCTGCCCACAGAGATCAGAGATCTGAAAGAGGTGTCCAAAACCCTGCCCTGTCCATAACCCTGGCCTCCACCTTGGGTTAAGAGGTCTACCTGGGTCCTCATACTTGCCCAAGCCCTCCTGAGAGCTGGAGCTTGAGACAGGCCCTCTGTCCTCAGCTGTTTCAGTGGTCCAGAGCACAGTTCCCTATTAGCAGGTTAAAAATACAGATTATACTGAATCAAGCACATGTGCCTAAAGTTCCAGCTGCTTGAGAGGCTGAGTCTGGAGGATCACTGGAGGCCGAGAGTTGGAGACCACCCTGAGCAACATAGTGAGACCTTGGATCAGTACAGATTATGGGGCCTGGTGGGGCCCCTACTGAATAAGAATCTCTGTGATGGGTGTATGTGACATTCTGGGATTGATATTTAACCAGAGTTATAGTTTCACTGAGGTTTGAGAACCCTTCTAGAGTTGGAGGGCTTGAGGCTCCTCTTTGTTGAACCCACACAGGCTGGATTCTGGGACACCTCAATTTTTGACTTGGCTTTGGGGACCTCCTGGGGGTCATGGAGCTGCAGGTGGAAGTTATGTCAGAAGAGTCCTGTTTGGGAGAAAGTGTCTTCTCCAGGACACTAAGCAGTTAGAAGGGTGAGGCCCAGGGAGGAAGGGCCAGAGTTGTAGGCACACCTCTTCCTTGGGCAGAAACAGTTCTGGGACTTGTCCTTGGGTCACTGGCTCCAGTCCTGGGACTTGTCTGTAGGTCACTGACTCCACGGATCCATGGACTTGGAAGGGATCTGTGCTGTAAGGTTGTGGGTATAAGGTCCCTACTTGCTACCTAGAAGCCACGATGTTTACTAACATGAAAGAGAGGACAGTGCAGGAGGAAAAGAGCCCAGAGGTGATGCTGGACACAAAAATCCCCCCTTTGGCCTGGCTTGTGAACAAGGAATGTCTGACAGGGCTGGGGTTGTGGCTCAGTGGTAGAGCACTTGCCTAGCATGTGTGAGACACTGGGTTTGATTGTCAGCACCGCATATAAATAAATGAATAAAATAAAAAGGTCCATCAACAGGCCAGGCGTGGTGGCGCACGCCTGTAATCCCAGTGGCTTGGGAGGCTGAGACACGGGGATTGCAAGTTCAAAGCCAGCCTCAGCAAAGGTGAGGCACTAAGCAACTCAGTGGACCCTGTCTCTAAATAAAATACAAAATAGGGCTGGGGATGTAGCTCAGTGGCTGAGTGCTCCTGAGTTCAATCCCTGGTACCCCAAAAAAATTTTAAAAAAAGGTCCATTAACAACTAAAAAAATACTTTTTTAAAAAAAGGAGGGGCTGGGGCTGTAGCTTAGTAGTAGAGAGCTTGCCTCACAGGTATGAGGCTCTGGGTTCGATCCTCAGCACCACATAAAAATAAATAAATAAAAGATATTGTGTCCATCTAAATAAATAAATAAATATATTTAAAAAGTTTATCTTTTAGTTGTAGGTGGACATAATGCTTTTATTTTGTTTTTATATGGTGCTCAGGATTGAACCCAGTGCCTCATGTGTGCTAGGCAAGTGCTCTACCTCTGAGCCACAACCCCAGCTCTAAAAATATATATCTTAAATAATAAAAGGAACGTCTGCTCACATCAGGCCTTGCCCTTTGCCTTCAGAGTGAGGGGTGTGTGAGGGGTCACTAAACCCATTTCCTTTGGTTTAGTCCATAGAGGGTTCCTGACATTGGTCCTGGTGCAGCATCCTGGCCACCGAAGCCATTAGAAGTGGGCAGTAATGGAGTGGCACATCAGGCCGAGCTCCTGGGCTCTAGGAGGTGGGCGTGTGTCTGCCCACAGTGGCCCCTGGATCTCACTTCATCCTGATGCTGGTTCTGCTTCCGTCAGGAGGACTTCCTCCTCTCTAGTCTAATCCTGTTCTACCTCATGTCCCACCCACAGCTGAGCTTGGGGTGTCTGTGATCCATTCTAACGGGAGGCCTCTCCTGGTCTCTCTGGGGACTCAAGTTTCCTTTTGCACAGTGGAGGAGGCTTCAGGAGCACTGGAGGTTGCAGTTGAAGGAGTTGTTTTGCAGGGAGTGTTTGGTGGGTTGACCAGGTCAATAGAACAGAAGGGGACATGTTTGTCTGCTCTGTTCCTGGGCCCTGACCCTGTCACCATCCCAGCCCTCTGCCACCCGGAGGCTTTTTCCTCAGTGTTCACATGTCCAATCTGGGAAGTGAGACTTCTTAGCAAGACTTTGCCTTGTGTGAAAATGTGGCCTCCACTTAGGGTGGGAGTTGGCAGAGGATTTTGAAGATATTTTCAAAAAATTTTAAAATTGAGCTATAATTCCCATTAATAATATAATTATAATTCCTATAATTCCCAGTTTACCTTTATAAGTGCTGGGCACGGTGGTGCATGCTTGTAATCTCCGTGGCTTGGGAGGCTGAGGCAGGAGGATCATTCAAAGCCAGTCTCAGCAGCTTAGCAAGGCTATAAGAAACCTAGTGAAATACTGTCTCAAAATAAATAATAATAATAATAATAACAACAATAATAATAATAATTAGGGGAAAAAAAAGGGCTGTGGCTTGTGGCAAGGTGTTGAGCACCCTTGCGTCCAATCCTTGGTACCAACTCCCCCACCAAAAAAAAAAAAAAAATCACCTCTAGAGTTGTTTAAAAATGAAAGAGGAAAGAAAATATTCAGCTCTGGGTCTTACCCTTCCATCCTGTCAAGGAC